TATGTGGTATATTATTGTTTCCTCACTTTTCTGGTGTCTGGTTTTGTAGATCCAGATTTTTTGTGGGTGATTTTGAAGACCAGTTCTCGGATATTTCGTGTTGTTGACCAGTTTTCTGGTGTTTGATGCTGTAGACGCATGATTATGCTAAGTTATGATTATGATTATGCTAACCAAGACCTGTGGTGTCTGATTTAAGCCAGACCCATGGTGTCTGGTTTAACCCAGACCCGTGGTGTCTGATTTCACCCATACCCGTGGTGTCTGAGTTAACCCAGACACATGGTATCTGATGTCTGGTGTTGTGGCTGTTCGTTTGTGTCAAATGTAAAAATTCACCAAATATCAAAAAACATTCTGCCAATCGCGAAGTCACCAATCAGCTTTTTACTGTCTCCCGTGACGATGCCAGGATATCTGAAAGTACTTAACAGTCTTTCTGCCAGGAATGAAAGTACTTTGTCATGACGACAGGTATATCGTCAATCCTTCAGAGCAACTTGTCCAATACAAGAAAAATTTCTGGTTCGTGTTTCTCTGGCACAGACTACACTTATTGCACCTTTATGAGCACATACTGTAGTGAAATCGCGGTGCTCCTCTATCGTCCAAATGTTGCTCCTTGTGAGACGTCTTCCCAGAATTCCCTGTAAGTTCATTTATCTCCCTTGTTTCTCCATGCCTGCTACCTTCACCATACCTCCTCTACACCCCTCACTTATTTTAGCACCAACCTCCCTCTTCTGTCGATATATGCCGTGCTCCACATATAACTGATTGTTTTACCAGATCATCTTATCCACATGAAGTTCTCATGATGGAAAGTAAATGCCGCTTATTTGGGATGGTTCTGTCAGCTTTCCACTTCCGGTCTTAATCTTCACCTTTATACGTGTCACCGTCTCGTAAGTGTTGATCTGGAGTTAGAAAGGTTGGTTGACCAAGGTCACATAAACTTCCATTCAGAGTTATATACACCTTTGTACCTTCCCCTAACAACTCAATGCTGCTAAAAATTGCTACTGCTATCCATCTGTGTGTTGGAAATTCGTCACCACGCTTTCCACATTTCCCACGTTGAAGATAGTACACCGAATACCAAGACCGACCATTGTTGATGAAAGAAGCACACCATGCCCTTAAATCCGGGCATTTTCCACGTAGCTTTTTTATATCTCAATGTCTGAGCACGCTTTTATACTCGAAATAACCAGACACTCCTTGTAAATCGTCTTAATGGATCGAGATGTCGATAAAATTCTTATTCAACAAACAGTTCCTTATAAGTTTTGCTTAGATCACCAGAAATAGTTCTCCACATTCAGGAACGAGTAGGCCCTGAACTGTCTTGACATCTTGAAACCTTCTTTCTTTGAAGTCAAACATCTATCTGCATAATACCACCAGCCAGAAGGTTGAATAAGTATCTTAAATCTTTGAGACAATTTACTCTGCGTTTTACATAAACCTCACTGCATCAGTGTCTATTTCCGATGGGCTTCAGTATCTAAATGTACCACGAAATTAGGGGACGCCTACCATTCCGTGTGGTTACGTTTATCTCGCATGAAAATTACGGGACGTTTGGAATGAAACTTAAAATTAAGGATTTGTACACCACTCTGTTAGATAAGTAAAGACTAAATAAGCGCACGTCCGAATTTAATTTAACCAATGCTTTTCATCTGCAAGTGTCTGAAGATATAGCTTTGCTATCAATACAAGATACGCAAAAAAATAAATAAATATAGGATACAGAAGATAGCAATATATTGTCAGTTAACGGGATGACGCTATACAGAAAGTGATAAAATGTTGTCAGTTAATGTGAGGACACTATACAGAGTGTATACAAATGATGTCAGTTAACGGGATAACACTTTACAGAGAGTATTAAAATGTTGACGGGGTGACACTATACAGAAAGGACTGAAATGTTGTCAGTTAACGGGATGACACTATACAGAGAGTATTGAAATGTTGTCAGTTTACGGAGTGACACTTTACAGAGAGTATTAAAATGTTGACGGGGTGACACTATACAGAAAGTATTGAAATGTTGTCAGTTAACGGGATGACACTATACAGAAAGAATAAAAATGTTGTCAGTTCACGGGATGACGCTATACAGAAAGTATTGAAATATTGTCAGTTGACGGGATGACATTATACAGAAAGAATAAAAATGTTGTCACTTCACGGGATGACACCATACAGAGAGTATTGAAATATTGTCAGTTGACGGGATGACAGTAAACAGACGGTATGAAAATGTTGTCATTTAACATGAGGACACTATACAGAGAGTATACAAATGAAGTCAGTCAACAGAAACAGAAAATAGGGGGGAAATATTCTCAATTATTTAGATAACAGTGTTCAGTAAAGATAAAAGACTAATTAAAGTTTCCTATATTAAACATGATGAATATCTAATAGATTCTATCATATCTGGATATTGAGAAGATTTCTGAAATTGGAGTCAATTTTACCCCCTTCTGGCCTTAGCCATAAATACCCCTGGTGTCAACCAGTGTCAAAATGTGTCTATCATCAAACTGTCATCCTTTACAACAATTAAATAAGTTTGAACTATTTCCAATAGAAAATAAACAAATCACGCTCAAAAATGATTTTTCCTGTATAAACTATAGAAAAATATACCCCACCCCAGGGGGAAATGTGAGGATTCTTGGGGTCATGAAATTCACAGTTTTTGAAATGTTAATAAATTTTACCCCCTTTTTGTCCAGCCCTTCAATCTCCTGGGGGTGGGGACCATATGATTTTCAATTTCATTGAAATAAGTTTTTGGGTTTTCAGTTTACAACGCACGACGCCGAATAACAAGGCGATCACAATGGGTTACCATTAGTCTTCGTCATAGATTTCTTAAAATCTTGTCAATATGATAATATCATTAAACGGAATGACAGTAAACTGAAAGAAACACAATGTTGTCAGTTAACGGAATGACAATATACAGAGAGTATTAAAATGTCAGTTAACGGGATGACACTATCCAGAAAGGATTGAAATGTTGTTAGTTAACGGAATGACACTATACAGAGAGTATTAAAATGTTGTCAGTTAACGGGATGATACTATACAGAGAGTATTAAAATGTTGTCAGTTAAAGGGATGACACTATAGAGAAAGGATTGAAATGTTGTCAGTTAACGGAATGACACTATACAGAGAGTATTGAAATGTTGTCAGTTAACGGGATGACACTATACAGAGAGTATTAAAATGTTGTCAGTTAAAGGGACGACACTATAGAGAAAGGATTGAAATGTTGTCAGTTAACGGAATGACACTATACAGAGAGTATTGAAATGTTAGTTAACGGAATGACACTATACAGATAGTATTGAAATGTTGTTAGTTAACGGAATGACACTATACAGAGAGTATTGAAATGTTGTCAGTTAACGGAATGACACTGTACAGAGAGTATTAAAATGTTGTCAGTTAACGGAATGACACTATACAGAGAGTATACAAATGTTGTCAGTTAGCGGAATGGCACTGTACAGAATATATAAATGTTGCCAGTAAACAGAAAAGAGGGGGAGATATTCTCCATTATTGGGATCACAGTGTTCAGCAAATATAAAAGACTGATTAAAGCTTCCGATATAATACATTTTTTCGTGTGTGTAAGATGTACTTGTATTTATTTTAGGTTTTTTCGACTGTCTGACCCGTCGAGAAATGTTCACCATATATTCAATGTAGATTACGCTTATGTTAGCTGTCAAAGACCTCTCCAAAGAATTTACAATCTGATTCGAATGATGAAAGATAGACTGAAGGAAGAAGAAAGGAAAAAGGTGGTAGAAACTGCCAACGAAGTTTCAAGACATATTTGGTTTCTTATCAATAAAACATCTTAATCCACAATCAGATATCAATAAAAACAACAAAAAGTTATACTTTTACATAACAAATTTATATAAAAGTGAAGTATATATATACATCGATAACAAAAAGCGGGAATAAATATACTTGCGCGTGTCTGCATGTACAATGAACGGGCAGAGGTGAACATTTACAATGTACAGTTTGACAGGAAACAATCACACTGTACATTTTTCTTACATCTACAATATGTTACATCAATAGTGCGCATGCGCACTTAGCACTAATATTCCAAGATGGACTCGTTTTGCTGACGAAGTATTTTACCATATTGAAAAATATTTATATCGAAAAAATAATTTATAATTATGCTTACAGACATATTCCGTGTCCAATACTATCGGCAACAAGTCATCGGGTATATATAGAAATATAGTATTCTCCAGGTGTAGTAAAATTGATTCATAAAAGTGATGATTCACGTGCATCACGTGAACATTCACGTGCATCACGTGGACAATGTATGTGACCTGTTATTCCGGTCTAAACGGAAGCACCTAGGAATCATCAACGATCCATATAAATGTCAATCCGTGTCATTTTCTTATTTATTACACACGACAAATATAAACATTACCGCTGTTGTAGACATGGGTTATTTCCCTTTATGTTCGTTGAATGTTGGTTACAGAGTTTCGAGTTCGGAGTACAGACACAGGAACAGAATCTGGTGCTTTTGTGTTACGCACTAAAGAATTCCAACACAGTTTCGCCTGTTATATCCCATCAAACACGAATTCCATGGTGGGTGAGTGTGGAACCGCACTACAACGAGCTCATCCTTGATAACTATCGATATAAACAGGCAGAGCGTTTTCATCCAAAATACTTCCGTTCTGTCGCAAATGTTGGTATTTACTACGCAAACAGGCCAGCAGCCCATACTTCTCCAGTACCACTTATGTTTACACAATGCTATAAAACCGTTTCATATTTGCTTCATTCATGTAAAACATGTTTTGCGATAATCACCACTTACTATTAATGTGTTGCCTTCAATGACATCCCTAACTTCTCGTGTCTGAGAAACAATTCATTCACTCTCCTCCCAATAAAAAACACGTGTTCTGTGTGTCCTACAAACACGTGTGTCTGATTTTCGTCCGTGTACAGGTTTCACATTTCACGTGACAACACCAATGAAAAATACAGCTACATCTTTCACGTACAATGTAACTCTCGGAATCGTACCCCCTGCCACAGCACATCAAGTCACATCCATCGATACCGATAGAGGTCGCGTTACACTTCCGGTGTTTCGTCCCTGGGAAACCTATACTGTCATCACGGTCACAAAATGTCGGCGAGTGTTCAAAATAAACCAGGTCCCTTCTTCCAGGTTTTTTATGGTTAGGATTCGTCGGAACGAACTTAAATCTTCGTCGCCTCTTTTTTCGGCCGCCGCCATTATTTGCTGCGGATATGAAAATCATGAAATTTCAATATCACATACATTGCAAATTAAACCATGACTAAAAAGTCATTCATATATCTTTAAGCAGCAATGAAATTTTCATGGAGTTAAAAAAATTGAAAAAGTATTTTATCACAAATCTACTGTCACATATGCAATGCCAGAACAGGTAGGAACACAATATATATGTGTCCCAGTCATAACCAGTCAAAGGCCATGTATAGTCTAAACATTGACTATGTATTGTCAGCATATTGGTCATTTATAGTTTAAACGTCGCTTAGGTATTATCATAAGTCCTGGATATTCCAATCATTGTGTAGGTAGGGTACGAGTTTACGTAGTCGGACTGAGACACAGTAAAGTCCTGGTCTACACATTTTGTGGATAGGGTACGAGTTTACGTAGTCGTACTGAGACACACTAACGTCCAAGTCTAAACATTGTGTAGGTAGGGTACCAGTTTACGTAGTCGTACTGAGACACAGTAAAGTCCTGGTCTAAACATTGTGGGTAAGGTACGAATTTACGTAGTCGTACTGAGACTTGTAACGTCCTGGTCTAAATATTGTGTAGGTAGGGTACTGAGACACACTAACGTCCTGGTCTAAACATTGTGTAGGTAGGGTACTGAGACACACTAACGTCCTGGTCTAAACATTGTGCAGGTAGGGTACGAGTTTACGTAGTCGTACTAAGACACAGTAAAGTCTTGGTCTAAACATTGTGTAGGTAAGGTACGAATTTAGGTAGTCGTACTGAGACTTGTAACGTCCTGGTCTAAACATTGTGTAGGTAGGGTACTGAGACACACTAACGTCCTGGTCTAAACATTGTGTAGGTAGGGTACTGAGACACACTAACGTCCTGGTCTAAACATTGTGTAGGTAGGGTACGAGTTTACGTAGTCGTACTAAGACACAGTAAAGTCTTGGTCTAAACATTGTGTAGGTAAGGTACCAGTTTACGTAGTCGTACTGAGACGCATGTAAAGTCCTGGTCTAAACATTGTGTAGGTAGGGCACCAGTTTACGTAGTTATACTGAGCCACAGTACAGTCCTGGTCTAAACATTGTGTAGGTAGGGTAGTAAGAAACTGCAAAGTCCTGGTCTAAACATTGTTTAAGTAGGGTACGAGTTTACGTAGTTATACTGAGACACAGTGAAGTCCTATTCTGTGAAATAGCACTAACATATATAGTTGAACAACACATGATGTAGTGCAACACTAGTGAATAAGCAAAGACAAGCACACACGTGAGCAATGATATGGTGACAGACAAGGACTGACGATATACAGGAGGACAGGGGAGTATAAGATATATGTTTTATTTTCTGCCTCTCTGACAGTTATGGTAAGTATATAAACACTGACACCTGAGTGAGATGGAATAATCTATGCAGCTATTGGCTGCGGAGTAATATCTCGAGTTAGTAAATAAATATGTCGATTAAGGTGATTACAGGTTATGGTATGACTGTTAGCGTTTCGATGTGAAATAATTCAACACGTTGTGGAGAGTGTCTTTAACATACTGTTGTGAACTAATTTTACTGGTTTGAATTCGAACACGGTACTAACCTGTATTATCAGCACTCCCAGCATTACCTACAATGGGATAGGGAGGGTAGAATGAGTGACAGAACAACACGTGACACACTAACAGTGCAAATTAAAATGTAACCAGGCTAGTGACCAGAAATAGCGACCAAAATCATTAGACAAGAAACCAGAAACACCCGAAAAGCGACCAAAATCATTAGACTAGTGACTAGAAACGCCAGTTACCCTACACCAGATTAGCGACCATGTGCACAGACACAAGATTACAGACTGAAAACAACGGACTAGCAAACAGTGACATTAAACTACAACCAGTGACAACTGATTAGCGACTAGTAATTCCAGATCAGCAACCACAGACAGCAGACTAGCGACCACTGACATCTCACTCGCAACCTTTGACGCCAGGCTAGCGACCAGTGACATAACATAAGCGACAAGAGACACAAAACTAGCCATCAGTGATATCAGCCAAACGACAACTGACATAAGACATTCGACAAATTTCACCAGAATCGCGACCATAGACAGTAGACTAGCGACTGGTGACAAGTAAAAAGCGACCAGTAACACCAGACTAACGACCAGTGATGCATGAATAGCGACCATAGACACCAGACTACCGACCAGAGATAAGATCAGAGCGACAACAGACACCAGACTAAGGAGAGGTGACACCTAAGTAGCGACCAGTAACACCAGACTGATGACTGTTGACACCTAAATAGCGACAAGAGACACCAGACTAACGATAAATGACACCAGATTTATAACAAGAGACACAAGACTAGCGACCAGAGATACCAGACTAAGGACGCGTGACATCAGACTAGCGACCAGCGACATCGGACAAGCGACCAGAGATACCAGACTAAGGACGAGTGACATCAGACTAGCGACCAATGACATCGTACAAGCGACCAGAGATACCAGACTAAGGACATGTGGCATCAGACTAACGACCAGCGACATCGAACAAGCGACCAGACATACCAGACTAAGGACATGTGACATCAGACTAGCGACCAGTGACACCAGACTAGCGACCAGAGAGACCAGACTAAGGACGAGTGACATCAGACTAGCGACCAGTGACATCGTACAAGCGACCAGAGATACCAGACTAAGGACGAGTGACATCAGACTAGCGACCAGTGACATCAGACTAGCGAACAGAGATACCAGACTAAGGACGAGTGAAATCAGACTAGCGACCAGCGACATCGGACAAGCGACCAGAGATACCAGACTAAGGACGAGTGACATCAGACTAGCGACCAGTGACATCAAGACTAGCGAACAGAGATACCAGACTAAGGACATGTGACATCAGACTAGCGACCAGTGACATCGAACAAGCGACCAGAGATACCAGACTAAGGACATGTGACATCAGACTAGCGACCAGTGACATCGAACAAGCGACCAGAGATATCAGACTACGGACGAGTGACATCAGCCTAGCGACCAGAATTATATGAAATAAGTGCTGATTGTCATGGCAGACAATAATGCAAACACGCCCGCTGATGGCTACGACATTTAAATGATGATGGTGATGATAATGATGATGATGAATTTATTAAGACCTTTATGTTATTGTATAAGTCATTGTACGAGAATCTTTATAACTGATTTGTTCCCTAAATCCTATGAGGGATATATATACTTACCGGAGACAACCTTTGAGGCGCCGTCAAATCTGTCCTTGAGAAGGTAGCCGACTTTCCGGAAGGTAGGCAGCCTCATCCAGCATGTTTGTATCGTACAGCTGCCCGACATACCATGACACTTACACTCCTGCTCCATGTTCTTAGACACGTGCTATTAACAGGAAAAGTTAGTGTTATGTATGCAAATGGTTCTTATAAACGGGACACGTGATAATAACAGGGAAGGTTCGGGTTATATACATAATTGAACTGTGATAAAAGCGATGAATGCTATTAACAGGAAGGGTTCGCATTATGTATACAACTGAATCATTGTTAACGAGACACGTGCTTTTAGCAAGAAATATTGAGGACACTTTAAAAATTTGCAAATACTTTACAAATAGAATATATTTAGGTCATTGTGATTATTGTAGATGAAAATAAAATTTTGCATGACGTTCTGAGCGTTATCTTCGAAAAGTTTTTAAAATTATAATATTGCAGATTAAATTTCAAATAAAAAGATAAAAAAATCAGAGGCCAACGGAAACCACTAGAGTACTCATTTGTTTAAAAAACCGCAAATCTCTGCACGGTTTACAATCCGTGAACCATTAGCATACATTTATCTATCGTAAGGATGAGGTGGCAGTTTATTCCTATTCAAACAGGAAAATTGTAAACAAATAATAAAGAAAACAACTTTTCAACAAAACACTTAACGGGAGTGGAGAGGAATTCTACATCAAGTAAGGCCATTTTACGTTAGAAGACCATCACCATGTTTAGACGAAATCTCGACAAGTATCTACATATCTACAAACACACTAAAATATATGACTTTGTTAATCATTAAGGGCAATCCCTTCTCTATATGTATATCACACTTCCGCTCTCAAGCATAACTTTTAATTGAAATAACGTTTTATATGCATTTTATACATTTTAAAAAAGATCGGTTATCGGGCTGAATCTCGAAAAAACTGTATTGTAAAAGTAATATATTCTTATGGAGTTTAAAGTCAATTTGTATTCGGAAATGTATTTGATAACTTTACTTATATCAAAATTGTGAAAAACATTAATCACAGAATAAAAATGTATTATCGATTTTTTCTTTTTGTCAAGATAACATTAGTATACACTTAGTAATTTTGACCAACATTTTTTACGAGGCCCAGTTTAGTTCAATTATCCGTGACAGAATTCCAGGTGGGTTTCTGTCGATAAGTATTAAGACAAGATTGTGAGATTTGACATCGTATCCGTGACATTTTTGACGAGTTTTATCTGCCCATTAAACATTAGCATGCGTGTTGAAATGTCCACACTGACTTAAACGTGCGTTCTAACAAAATAGTTTTTAAACCTACATTGTTTTTCTAATGGATTTCGCAGGATATAGATTATTTCAACACGTGCCCACTTCAATTAACTTTATTTTCAAACACAAAAATTGAAAACATCGTAACACAGAGGCAATATAAAAAAGGGTTTAATCTATGTAGTTTGGCTCGATGAGTAAGTATATTTAATAAACTTATTGATATACTGGATTTTGTTTGTCTAAAAAATATTGGGGAAAAATAATTTCATAGACAATATAGCATGAATTTCTAATTACATAGTCATGTGACCAGTAATTGAAACTCCGAGGTTGTGTATCAGAGAGACACCAACCTACGCTGGGAATAACTGGCATCGTCGTCACAGTGACTTTATTCTGAGTGTTAAGTGTGTGTTGTCGTTTGATACTAGGATTAAGAATGTATAAATGTAAGATTTTACCGGAAGTAGGACATTATTCAATATGAAATGAATAGTCCGACGTAAAACCATGACTTTCACATTTACCGCGAAAATGGACCGCTCATATGACTTCATATTAAGAATTATTTGCGTAATGAATTGTCGTAATTCGTTTAAAGTGACAACAAACGCAACGTGTTTTCGTTCTTATGGTTCTTGTCTTAGGTAATACTTTACAAGTCTTGGGTAGACTTTAACAAATTCTAGCATGATTCATCAACGTAAACCACATGTTTGAAATGTAGGAATATTAACTGAAGAGATCACTTTATTTGACTTTGAGAACCAAAGAAATATTCAGTAATTTTTCTTCTTGACCCTTTAAAAATCATCTCTAGAAAATTTTCAAACATTTTTTATTCTTTATATATACCATTTACGATTGGTATGAAATAGAATCAACTGAAAATTTAACACTTTTACGCTGTATATTCCAATCAATTCATTATCAATATATTACATTTTAATGAAAGAAAACAAATGTTAAAAGATTGCTCCAAAACCAATATAAACAAACAAACAAACAAATAAACTAAATGCCATTTAAAAAATAAATGAATTAACGAAAATGATTATTTTCCAATCTAAACTTGTTTTACTTTTGTAACAAAAAAGACGCACAGAGACATATAAATTTTTCATGCCTTAAAAATACTTCTTAAACATCTGGCATTTCAAAATGTAATTAGTAGAGTTGAATTTCAGAAATGTTTGAACCAGACCTTCATACATCTTTACGAGTATGAGCCGTCCGGAGTCTTAAGAAAAAATTATGTTTTCCAGAAATTATGAGTTCGTTAAGTCAGACTTGAGTTTCATTTTATTATAGTGTTTATCCTTGCATGTATGTCCTCTGCAGCACTCATTTTGTTATTTCTTAAAACTCTCAAATAAATGACGTCGGCGATGTGAGAGTTTTACTCACGATAGGTTTTTATAGATGAAAGAAAAGGAGGACAGTATTTCAGTATCACTGTCTCCAGAACTGATTTGGCGGACAAATGTGGATTTTGTCGTAACTACAGAAGACAGATGTACCAGTCGTTCTTTACTCACCACTCTCCCAGCCTCGTTGTTATGGAGATTCATCATATACCGGAAGTCGCGACCTTTTTCTAAAACGTCTACAAACTTCCTTGAGAACTTGTGTCCAAAGTTAGCGTTGTCACTGCATCCTCCCCACTCCCAGTTTTTTGTACCACGTGGCTCTTTTAGCTGGTAATCACACGTACACGTGCGCACACGACCCTCCGAACATGCACGCGCAATAGAGTGAGTCACTGCGGCACTTGTTATGGCATATATGAAAGACGTTTCCCTACAACCTGTAAAATAAAAGATTATAGTCTTAAATACCTGACATTAACCCCAAACATCTTGTAAAACATGAAGATTTAGACCAAAATACCTGACATTAGCCCCAAACATCTTGTAAAACATGAAGATTTAGACCAAAATACCTGACATTAGCCCCAAACATCTTGTAAAACATGAAGATTTAGTCCAAAATACCTGACATTAGCCCCAAACATCTTGTAAAACATGAAGATTTAGACCAAAATACCTGACATTAGCCCCAAACATCTTGTAAAACATGAAGATTTAGTCCAAAATACCTGACATTAGCCCCAAACATCTTGTAAAACATGAAGATTTAGACCAAAATACCTGACATTAGCCCCAAACATCTTGTAAAACATGAAGATTTAGTCCAAAATACCTGACATTAGCCCCAAACATCTTGTAAAACATGAAGATTTAGACCAAAATACCTGACATTAGCCCCAAACATCTTGTAAAACATGAAGATTTAGTCCAAAATACCTGACATTAGCCCCAAACATCTTGTAAAACATGAAGATTTAGTCCAAAATACATGACGTTTTAGTCATAAGCTCCAAATAACCTTAAAAGTATTAAAAGATATCTAGACTTCTATCCATCGTTTGCTCAAAAAATCCTGTAACTGGATTACAAAATCAGCATAATATATATATATATATATATACAGAAGATGTCTTAATGGGAGACACCATGTGTCTCAGAGTAGTATAGGGTAATATAAAGACGGTGATCCTGACATAGGGAGACAATTGGAAGTTGTTATCAATTACCGTACTGTCGATAATTTTAAAGGATTATGAAAGGTTTTTAATCCGAGAAAAAAAACAATGATTATCTTAAACAGAAAAGAATTAATTAAGATAAAATTGTAAAACGTCACATGTACTGATCTGTGTAAGGTGATTCTCCGGAGGGGTTACTTTGACAGTGACAACGGATTTACCTAACAAATCAACTATTTTTTTTTTTTTATCTTTTTTTATTTTTTCTTTGTTCACTAGTTTTTTTTGTTTTTGTTTTTGTTTTTTTGTTCGATAAATCTTATTTTTAGATATATGTATCTGTTTGATTAAAGTGATAATTTGTTGGTATCAGACCCGTCAACAGACGGTGTGACGTGTTTGAGGCTTTGCTTCTTGTACACGTTTGCCTGCGTGACACCGTACAAATACCCTGTGGCTGTACTGTCATATCAATCTGATAAAATAACTCCGAGTTATCATGGACTGGACTTCACTGCTGTGGTCAATGGAAATCTACATGAACTCTGCATGGGGTTGACGGTGTAAGGCACGGAGTGAAAAGTCATGCTTTTTTTATTGTGACCAATTTATATGGCCACTTAAATTAGTAATAAACTAAAGGTATAGAGAGATATTTGTGATTAAGTCACCAACACAAATTGCTACTCTCTGGTCCTACATACCATACCGATGTCCCGACATGACGTGCCCTATCTGTAAAGGATAATAAAAAGGAATTCCAGGCGTTTTAAACACTATATATAACATATTAAACACCATAGGTGACTGGTCACTGGTAAATCTTTGTATTAATACGCATGATAAACAATTTAACAACACCATGACGTCAGCAGTTCGTGTGCATGCGAAACAGTAGATAGAATTACGCATGATGATGATGATGGTGGTGGTGGTGATGATAATGATGATGATGATGATGATGATGATGATGATGATGATGATGATGATGATGATGATGGGTAAATGAATTAATGTACGAGGCATTCACGTGTATTGGGTTTAATTTATGTTGATTTTTTTTTTAAAAAATAGAATAAATACAAAAACAAACAAAAACAAAAATACGCAGAAAGGGGGAAGTGTAAGAAAATGTATTTCGCAAATTACACAAAATTTCCATTCTTTGAAGAAAATGACATTTTACTTAACAGTTCTATAGTTAATCTATTTTTTGACTGGTATAATTTTCCAGAAAGTCGGTGTTATAAAAATTATAATTCGCTACAGAGCTGGGCAGCATTCCTAGTAATCTGATGTCGGTGTCTTCATCCGTACACATCATTACAAAACTGGTTTTTCTTCTTCGTATCAGGCATATTGTATCGTATTTGTAGTCAAAATATATATCTAGTTCGTTTACTGATGTGTTTAGATAATTAGATATAACTAATGGATTTGGTTAAGGTAGACAAATGAATCTCTTTGATTTTGATGTGTGCATTTTTATATCCAATTATGATTGAACATCACATACAGGATGTTTAATGAAAAAAACCCAAACACAATAATTAGATAACTTCGTTTACGAAATGATACATCCTTGCTATTTCTGTGTTTGATTTATATGTGACGAAATGTATATTCTATGAAAACCCTAGGGCGAACATCCTACATGTTACACCCCCGATCACGTAACACATAAGAAAGGTTGTTTGCTGTGAATAGGGCCATATCCCGTAGTTGCGGTCACTATTCCTAAGTACCCATCAATATATCCCATTATCACTATCACTATTCCAGTCTCCGTCACTATTCCACTTTCCCGCCACTATTCCACAGTCCCGTTACTATACCACATCCCCGTCACTATTCAACAGTCCCCATTACTATTCCAAATTCCCGTCACTATTCAACAGACCCGTCGCTGTTCCACATTCCCGTCACTATTCAACAGACCCTTTAATATTCCACATTCTCGTCACTATTCAACAGACCCGTCACTATTCCACATTCCCCATCACTATTCCACATTCCCCATCACTATTCCGTATCCCCGTCACTATTCCACATTCCCCGTCACTATTCCACCTTCCCCGTCACTATTCCACATTCCCCGTCACTATTACATATCCCCGTCACTATTCCACATTCCCCGTCACTATTCCACATCCCCGTCACTATTCCACATTCCCCGTCACTATTCCACATTCCCGTCACTATTCCACATTCCCCATCACTATTCCACATTCCCCGTCACTATCCCATATCCCCGTCACTATTCCACATTCCCCGTCACTATTCCACATTCCCCGTCATTATTCCATATCCCCGTCACTATTCCACATTCCCCGTCACTATTCCACATTCCCGTCACTATTCCACATTCCCCGTCAATATTCTAGATTCCGTCACTATTCTACATTCCCCGTCATTCCCTGTCAATATTCCAGATTACCGTCGCTATTCCACATTCCCCGTCACTATTCCACATTCCCCGTCATTCCCTGTTACTATTCCAGATTACCGTCGCTATTCCACATTCCCCGTCACTATTCCACATTCCCCGTCATTCCCTGTCACTATTCCATATTACCGTCGCTATTCCACATTCCCCGTCACTATTCCACAATCTCTGTCAATATTCCACATTCCCCATCACTATTCCACATTCCCCGTCAGCATATCTTTCTCATAGTGCTTTCCCACACCTGTTTCCAATAGTTTGCAGCAGCTAACCAATGCGTACACAGGTGTTAGAATTAAGTTGCTGTCAACCTCTCTATTATCTCAATCAACGCCTTGGGCGAACAGGGTATGATTGATTTATCATTTTCTTGTCGTTTCACCCATCAATTTATTTTTTAGAAAAGTGTTTTGAGGCATACAACAGCAGGCAGGAATGTGAGAATTTCTAGTGGTGTGCAGACATGTTTATCGGTCGTCAGATCGGTGAGAAAGGAGAGATATAAATATTGAAATATCTCACCCTTCATATTTTTATCTGTATCGAAATCTGAAGTTAATATTCTGGAACAGTATTTACCACAAGAAAATCTATACAAACTTATGTATAACGATAGGCGGGCTTCAGTTATATTTAAAGTGCGTCTGAAAACTCAATCATGCAGAATTGATGGTAAGAGACACAATTCTCTATATCTGATGATTTTTTACTTATCTTGTTAATTTCATTGAACCTTTTCCCCTTAAGATCTTCATCACTGCCATTTATCGATGGTATTTTAGTGTGTTAACACCCTGTAATCTTGATACAGGTACACGGTCGATAGATTTTTATGTAGTTTTCAGACCCAATGTTGCTCAAATTTTACCCGAAATCACATTAGGAAGAACACAGGCTATAAACTAACACACACAGCCTGTTGTATGACGAGTTATGAAATAAATATTGATAAATTGATTATACATGTAGTATAAACAGTTAAGCCTGGTAAATATTATATTGTTCAACCTTAAGGTGTTTGGTAACTTAAACACTGATCAAATCACGTCACTTCCGGCATGGAGAGTGGTGATTCTGGTTGGAATGTCAATCTGCTTTTGAGAGGAAATTCAATACATATTCATGGTTGAAATCTAAATTTGGACATGTTTTCAGGGTTTGACCAATCACTGTGGACAGTGTTCCATTTATAGATTTTATTTTCTCTACTTTATACAACAATAAGGACAAAAACACGGACCAGAAAATGCAAAAAACAGACAACAGCATGCAACTGTTTTCTTCTGTTGGCATATCGTTACAGTAAACTTGATTACAGTGATATAATGTTCTATTTTAACTAACAATAAAACATTATATCTATCCCAGTATACTGATAGTGTGGGAGATGTGGAGTTAGCACCCGGGGATAGGACTTCCACCGATATGAACAAGAAACAGCAAAACTGACCATCGATAAATGCAATATATATCTAATAAAATGGCCACTGGAACGTGTGGCTCTACACAGAACAAGGAGCGATTTCGGGGATTTTAATCTCAACTACAGTATCATTACAGTGTAGCTATTTATCAGTTCTATGGTAGACACGAGGGTTGAAGCAACATTGGACATTTGACACTTTTTCTCGTAGTCTGACTCAACTCTATCTGCAGGTTGATAGTTAGAATACGTGTTTCAGAATTAAGATTTCCGTCACAGAATTACATCTACACGAAATAGAGACAGCTTTTAATTAGCTGCTTAATTTATTTGGCAGTACATAAGCAGACGACACGAGGTTTGTAGACCCTGCCAATAACATTCTGTCAG